GTGAAAAACTCAAATATTTTTAAAGTTATGTGACTTTAAACCTTTAAATAAATGTTGCAATTCTGAGGGATCAAGAGGGGCTTGGCCAGTATCTGCTAAAGGTAAAACGGTCGTATTTCAGGATCTTTTTGGAGCCAGAAGCTAAAATTTTCAAAAAATTTTTATTTTACTGAGCACTCTAAACTGTATAAAAATCAGCAAAATCTGAGATGTATGGTGACAAAACCTGATGTCATCTGAGATGTATTGTGACATGACCTGATGTCATCTAAGATGTATGGTGACAAAACCTGATGTCATCTGAGATGTATGGTGACAAAACCTGATGTCATCTGAGATGTATGGTAACATGACCTGATGTCATCTGAGATGTATGGTGACATGACCTGATGTCATCTGAGATGTATGGTGACAAAACCTGATGTCATCTGAGAAGTATGGTTAAAAAACCTGATGTCATCTGAGATGTATGGTGACATGACCTGATGTCATCTGAGATGTATGGTGACATGACCTGATGTCATCTGAGATGTATGGTGACAAAACCTGATGTCATCTGAGATGTATGGTGACAAAACCTGATGTTATCTGAGGTGTATGGTGACATGACCTGATGTCATCTGAGATGTATGGTGACATGACCTGATGTCATCTGAGATGTATGGTGACAAAACCTGATGTCATCTAAGATGTATGGTAACATGACCTGATGTCATCTGAGATGTATGGTGACATGACCTGATGTCATCTGAGATGTATGGTGACAAAACCTGATGTCATCTGAGAAGTATGGTTAAAAAACCTGATGTCATCTAAGATGTATGGTAACATGACCTGATGTCATCTGAGATGTATGGTGACATGACCTGATGTCATCTGAGATGTATGGTGACAAAACCTGATGTCATCTGAGAAGTATGGTTAAAAAACCTGATGTCATCTGAGATGTATGGTGACATGACCTGATGTCATCTGAGATGTATGGTGACATGACCTGATGTCATCTGAGATGTATGGTGACAAAACCTGATGTCATCTGAGATGTATGGTGACAAAACCTGATGTTATCTGAGATGTATGGTGACATGACCTGATGTCATCTGAGATGTATGGTGACATGACCTGATGTCATCTGAGATGTATGGTGACAAAACCTGATGTCATCTAAGATGTATGGTAACATGACCTGATGTCATCTGAGATGTATGATGACAAAACCTGATGTCATCTGAGATGTATGGTGACAAAACCTAATGTTATCTGAGATGTATGGTGACATGACCTGATGTCATCTGAGATGTATGGTGACATGACCTGATGTCATCTGAGATGTATGGTGACAAAACCTGATGTCATCTGAGATGTATGGTGACATGACCTGATGTCATCTGAGATGTATGATGACAAAACCTGGCTCATTTGACATGGACATTACCCTAATGTAAATTTAGTTAAGAAAATAAAGATATTTTAATAAAAGTTGTCTTAAAAGTGATAGTTTCTTCTTATCAATAAGATAGATTATGATATTTATTATATTAAAGTTTAGAAAAAAATATTGGGGAAAAGAACTACACAAAATATCAGAAACTGTATATAAATACCAGTTAGCTATGCTAAAGTCTTATGAAATATTAGGAATTAAATAAATTAGAAACTAAGGAATCAAATGCACACATTATATAAAATATTTGTAGCTGTAAAAACTGCAAAAACTAAATATTAGGGAGTAGGTGAAATATCAGAAACCAGAAAAAACTTTAATAAAAAAAAACTAAATATTTTTATACATATATGATTAATATACAGCAAGCTTTTGTATTTATTTTGGTATTTATTTTCTTCCAGTGAAATTGTTTACTGATGCATTGGGATTGTATCTCATAGTGGAACCCATTGTAATGTTTTTATTGGGCGTTAAGCGCCATATCACAAACTAACTCTTACTTTAAATCTCTATTAGTTTCATTGATTGAAGTAGTCTTTTAGACAATACAGTAGTGAATATTGGTGGCAGAGTTGGGATAAAAATAAATACTGTTTAAAAGTCAATGCAAAGCACAGAAAATTTTTTTTGCTATATAGGATAAGTATATCCTATATTGCAAGCTTTTGTATTTAGATTTACGATAAAATGTCAGACAGTTGCTACATATAGTTGCATGATCAGTTCAACTCATTTTTATTTGGTGTTTTGCTTTTATTTTGTTTATTAAAGTATGTTTTGTAATCAAAAATTATCTTCAGGTATGTTTTTCTTTTCAAGGTTTTTGTTTTCAATTAAATTGACTATGGCCTATCTCTATATCCAAATGGTTTGGTTTTTGTACAAGTGCCTCCATTTGCAGTAGGGCTCAAAACTCTTGTTAACCCTAATCTCTTACCCAGATTACCCAGAAAGTTCATTAAGCTTGCCTACGCTTTCTTTGATTCTTCCTCTTTGCTTCTACATCAGATTCACCCTATCATTGTACTTTTTACTACTACCTTAAGACTAACTAGAATTTTCCTTGGACTGTCTATTTGGTAAAAATTGTGGCTATAGTGTAATTTCTTGGATTTAGGTTGGTTGGCTTTTACTTTTTCTGTTTTCTTTTAATTCAATTCTCATTCCAACCTTTTTTTTGTGTGTGCCATTACTTATTTTAATTAAAACTATTTCTTTCATATTTTTTTTCAGAATAATTTTCCTTTGAACAAAGATCATTTTATCACTTTAAATTTGTGCAAAAAAGTATAAGATATTCATACATTTATAATTTAAGGTCTAGCCCTAATCCACTGTTCTTCTCACTTGTAATACATTATTCTTAGATTACTTGTAAATCAACTAATCTGATCCTAATTTTCCTCATCAGATTATTTGTAAATCTTTTATTTTCCTTTTATTTTAATTATTTGTAAATCTTTTATTTTCCTTTTATTTAAAATCTTGCATTTATCTAGGCTATGGAGAGCAGGGATAAATCTTCTGGAGTATATTTGTTCCCAATCTCTAATCACTACTATATTTTGAAAAGCCTTCTCATTTGGCATAAGCATAAACGTAGTTAAATTTGGAGTTTTCATAATGCCTAGAAGTGTCATATCTGAAACATAAAAAAATCCTGGATCTGTCACTGTTTTTACAGAATTACTTTTAAGTAGATATAAATCTTATTTTTATACTATTTTTCAATTATTTTTTTATTATTACTATTAGCAAGCCTTTAAATTAGTTCAGATTTTGTCTTTCTTGAGGACTGTCTTTGCTCTTGAAATTTGAAAAAAAAAATTTATACAGTTTGGCATGCTGGTCATAAATGCCTGTAAAGCTGTTAGTTATGCAACCCAGGGAAATTTCTTTGCAGAAGCTTTTTAATCTTGATTCATCTACTGATCAATTGAATGAAGTAAAATCTCTGGTAAAATGGATTTAGTCGTTTGAATTCATTATCTTGACAACCTTCTGTTTCAAAGCTTTCCAAGAAATATACTTAGTCAATGTTTCAATGAGAAAACATTTCCTTAGATGATGAAATAAAGCTTATAAAGACTCTTATTGAGGACTTCACCAGAATCTTCCTGGTCCAATGTCATTAACAAAACACATTTGATTGACTCCAGTCTACCATGTTAAGGTTTTTTATTAAATTTTGTCCAAAAGAGGATATAGAAGAGAAAGATATTGCAAGAAGAATCCAGGAACAAAGCTATTTCACGTAAACAAAGAAAAAATAGTTGAGCATATTCAACACCGATCTTGATGTTTATTTTTTATTTATTAATTCCTAATTAGTTAATTAATTAATTATTAATTAATAGTTATTAATAATTAGTTCAATAAAGCTATTGAATCGGAAAATATCAGAAAGATCTACAGTCTCTCCTCGAATCAGCAAAGATTTGGCTACGCATTTTCAACAGGATTCTTGTTTCCATTGCTAAAGATGAGCAGTCTAATAAACGCAGTGATAAGATTTACAATAAAATTCTACCAGCTCACAAATCTTCTTTTCATTGAGCATGATCTTGCATAAACTCTGCGCTACAACAAAGTCATTGCAAATTTCTAAGTAAAGCTCTGAAAGTCAATTTTTTTGTAAAAGACTGTTGCTTTTTTAATTTCAGTTTAAAATGTCCTGGTTGATAATGGGTTAGTTCAGATGAAAAAAAAATTTCAACGCATGGATTGGTCATCAAATCACTTTTTGTATTTATTGGATCTGATGGTGGTGCTAATAAAATTTTGATCCTAAAATGTCAAAGTGTCTTAAAATGTTGCGTCTCCATGAGTAATGATAACAATGTTGTTCAACCAATAGTGTTGATGTTATTATATTGATGAACGGCAACACTCTTACTGAGCTTACTTTTTTATTTCCTCCGGTTCTGAAGCCAGAAACCTAACCACAACACCACGGCTGCAAAAAGTATTCTTGGATTATCTTTCAATCATGATTGGGTATATAGTTTGTATACCTATTCAATTGCAAAATTAGAGTTTACTACTTTATTGTGGTAATACTTTGTTACTTCTGATTACACACTTTATTTTTAAAACTTTTTTATCCGTTCTTGTATGGAACACTTGTCAAATTTCCACTGTGTCTTTAATGATTTTAATGAATTCTCTCCCATCTTATAGTTTTTCTGATTCATATAATTTATAGCTTTTTGTTGGCCGTTTTCTTGAACAATCTTCTTGGTAACTCTCAACTTAAACAGTTTGCAGTTTTGTTGGAAACGAATTTGTTTTAAAATAAATAATAAAACTTGCATAGATCTTTTTTTTAAACTACTTACAACGGCTCACACTAGAAACTCACAGTAGAAAGTAAAAATTACAACTACTTCACAACTGGTTTTGTTTTAAAAAAATATTAAAACAAATATTTTGTATTGTTTTTTTTTTTAATATTTGCGCTTCTCGCAAAACTATTTTTTATTACATTTTGTTAATTTTCTTTTAATTTTACTTGTCTAATAACTTACTAAAGTTTATTGATGTATACTTTTAGATTTGGATGAATTAAACACTTATTGTCCAGGAGACAACTTCGAAGTGCACGAACTTTAAATATAGAGCCAAGATATTGAAGTTTTTTATCTACTTTTTAATAGATTAAATAAATATGTCCGATCTTAAGAATAATGAATTCCAGTTTCCTTTTCAGCATCGATTATCGAACAATTAAAGTTTTTTTTTGCAAATTTTTATTTGCTGCTATAATCAATTTACGTTTAACGATAACGTAACGTTTAACGATAATTTTAACGCTCTATACATTATTCGGGATACTTGTACATTTTAAATATCGTTTTATGGTTTATCTTATGATTGAATGAGTTTTAATCAGCACTTATCAAATAAATTTAAAGCATTCTTATCATCGACGACGTATTTATATTAAGCGAAGTTTATTAGAAGTTGCTATCAAGAAGTAGTCAAAACCGAGAAAAAGAAAACAAAAACAAGTAAAAAAAAAATCTAAATTTCAATACTATAAATATTTTATTAATATTTTCTTGTATTTCAGTTTTTGTGCTTTCGTCGCTTCATTAATTTGACGGCGTGTTTTCCTATTTTTTTTCTTCTTTCGTTATTGTTATCAGGTTCCTGCATTGGAAAAGGAATAGGCGGTTCGTTATCACTCCCCGGTTCTGGAAATGGATTGTCATCAGATTTTGGTTTATCGTTGTCGTCTTCATCGTTATTAATACTTGGATTTGTAACAGAGTCATCTTGATTAACATTAAACGGATCTTTTGTTGTTGTCGAAGTTGTAGAAGTAGATGTTGGTGCAGGTGTTGAAAACTGATCTTCTGTTAGAGAGGAGTTTAGTTGTGGTTTTTCAGGTTCCGGTAATTCTGGTTTATCAAGATACTTTTCTGGGCACTAAAAAAAAGCCGTATAAATTACGTCTTTTTTCAAAAAACACGTGCAAAGGTTCTTTACATATGCGCCATACTATTTGCAAAACTTTAAAATAAAAATCTTATTACTTTTACTAGTTTTTTAATTTTATCATATTTGGTTTGGAACTTTTATAATTAGTATGAAAATTCCCTCTATATATATTATATATTACTATTTATATATTGAACTCAAAGATGGATCCAAGGTTATCTTTGCCAGAGATAGCATTGAAAAAAAATATTTACAAAATTTAGAACTTTTGCATAAAAACTTTTGCATTATGTAAAATAAATATTTGTTCAAAAGTTTTTATGTCTGGTAAGTACTCAATGAAACAAAAAAGCTCCTCTACCTTCCTGTAGAGTAACAAGTTATTTTAAAGAAAAAGATTTTCATAATTTTATATACAAATTGACGGACAAGTTTAAATTTTATAAAAAAAATTTGTTCGCGTTTAAAAAGACTAATAACAAATTTTAAAATTTTTGCTTTTAAACTTTATACATTTATCTTTTAAAAGATAAATTTAAAAAAAAAAAGTTAAATATTGATTTTAAAATTTAATTTTTTTTTTTTTGTTTCAAGGTACTCCAGTTTTGTTACAGAGGCCCACATAGTAGAGTTCCTCACAGAGGCTCCCCGCATAGTAGCATATAACAAAAAAAAGTCTTGCGCTATATTTTGCGTAGGTTTCATTTTTCAATCAAAATGGACATTGAACCTCTAACCTTTTGATTTTAAGTCTGCATTGGTTTACTCTAAGTTTACTAATCTTAATACTAAACTAGAAACCTAAATAAAAGATGATAGAAGTATGAATATCTCACCTGGAAAGCTGCGTTTAACTTTGCTGCATCTAGCTTACTTAATCCATCGCGTTGACCTAATTTTTGGTCTTGGTAAATAATGTTGTTTGGTTTAATTGTATTAAGGTTTTGTGGATCTTTGGAAAACCAGTTAACAGGAGGATGCATGATGCTTTCATAATCATATCTAGTAAAATTAATCAATTATTTAAATTAATTATAAAAAAAAAAAATAATCAGTAGTTACTAACCTTATTTCAATTTAAACAGATAAATATATTCTGTATTTTAAACTAGGTATATGCTTGATTGTTTTTTTGTTCAAAATATTGGATGATCTTTTAAAAATGTCGATTGCATTCGCAACATATTATATGTTTTGAACGCCATGGAAAAGTCATGGGAACGATCTTTATTTATATTAGTTACTTTGTTATTAATTATAATTAATTATAATTTGTTTTTAATTACAATAACTTATTATAATACTTAAAATCACTCAAAACCAAAATAATAATCGCATACTTAAAGCATTATAATACTTAAATTCACTCAGAAATGAATTTCTAGTAAAACAATTCTACAGTAAACAAAGATTTTTTCCCATAATTTTTGATATTTTTTTAGAAAAGTTAGCTATTATTTAAGTTTCAAAAAGTTTTGTCACTTTTTTTAATACTCCCTACTTTGTTAAATTTTTAGTTGAGTTTGAAGGAGTTGCTATAGTTAATTATAAAAAAAAATTAGTTTCCTTTTAATTTGGTGTGACTTGATGCATTATTGTTGCAGATAAACTCAGGTTTATCTGAATTTTTTTTTATTCTTTATTCTATCTTAATATTCTTTTTTTAAAAACCCAGACCAAAGATTCTGTTTTGTTTTTTTGTTTTTTTTTAAAAAAAAACTTAAAATCACGATCGTTTGTTCAAGTTTGAATAAGATTTTAAATAAATATACTTTTTAGGCGAGATGAACATCGTAGTTTAATAATATGATCTGTTCTGATCGTTTATTGGCAATTTTACTTATTTAAAAGCGCTTTTTTGGTTAGAATTCTAATATTTTTTGTGAAAATTGGTAGAAATGTTGTGTTTTGACAATTATATTAAATTTATATGTGCTAGAACCGATTAGAGCTAGGATCTATATTATATTAAGGCACTTTGAAAAAATTTTCAACCAAAATTAAGTTAACGATGTTGAGCGAAATTGATCTAAAGATTCAAAAATGTTGTTCTTTAGATTCACCTTTAGAGGTAATAGAAAAACTTTGAAATATATATATATATAAAAAAAAAAAGAAAAGTTTCTTTAAACATAAAAACTTGATGCAATAAAAATTATAGCATATAAAGCTCTTGTTTGGACATAATACGCTGACAAAATCATGCTAATTCCAAATAAAAGAATTCAAGTAACTTATAAATCGCCTTGACTACACCAAACAGGCTCTAAAATATCTAGGGCAAGAGATAATTGATTAGCTACCGTCTTGCTAGTCCCGCAGTAAATATTGAGCTAAAAATCCCCAAAAAATGTAATTTTCATTAATAATTAGACTTTAAAACACTTATATAAGCATTATAGCTATGTACAACCACATAGCTATGATGTATATGTTAATAAGCAAATTTTCGGGCAGCATCGAATTTTCTGCAAACAGCCTTTAGCATAAGAAAAATGTTAATTCTATCATAGTATTGGTCGATTTTTCAGTTAATGCAGCCTTTATCCGTTTAGTTACTGCTAACCTGAAGCCGTTAATTCAAAGAAATTTAAATAAAAAAGCTGTTATAAGTCATCATATAACGGTTTTCTCCATAAAATAAAAACACTTGAATGTTTTACATTCTTTTACACCCAGTATTACATTTTACTGAGCAATAATGAAGCGATTAAATTTTTTTTTTTAATTACTAATCGTCACTAAAGTTTACCGAAAAGATTCAGCAAAATAAAGTAATTTAAAAATTATGAATAATTAGCTGAAAAAAAATTAAAAGAAATCAAGCCATGCTGATACCTTTTTCTGCCGAAAATGTTATCTTTTAATTATGCACTTTCGAATTCAAGTTTAAACTTGCATAAATGATTGCATAAAAAATTCTATTTTTGTAATCTAAGCACTGACGACATTACTAGGATTGACGTTGTTGAATGCATTAGAAAACACTTATTTTATTTAATATCATCTTCTTTTGAACACAGTACTTTTCCTAATATGTGAAAAATTGCTGAAGTTAATCCTGTTTATAAAAATGTAGATTGTAATAATATGTCCTTCCTTCCCTTCTACCAGTGATCTGTAAATTTTATGAAAAAGTAATCTACAATCAAATTTATAATTACTTGAAGCTAAACAAACTTTTATATAAAAATCACTTTGGTTTTCAAAAAGGTTATTAAACACCCTATCATTGAACTTACAAATAAAAATTTCAATATTTTGATAAGGAGAGAATGTACTAAAAGTATTTATAGACCTTTCAAAGGCATTTAGTTGACCACGACAATTTACATATCTTACTATCAAAATTAAAATATTATGATATCAAAAGACTAATGTATGAATGGGTAAAAATCTAAGTGACAGAATACTGTTTGTAATGAACAAGGAGTCAAGTGTTCTTGAGGGTACTTTCAAGGTTCAATCTTAGGACCATTATTGTTTTTAATTTACATCAATAATATGTATAAAACATCATCTATAGTATCTTCAATAATGCATGCTGATGACACAACTTTATTTTGTAATCATAGTAATTTAAAATCGATATTTGGAATAGGGATGTACCGAAGCTAAAATTTTGCCGAAGCTTCGGCACTATATATGCTTAAAATTTAATCAGCATTCAGATCAGCAGGGGTGTAAAACAAAAAAGGTTCTAAAACTAAGATCCTTGACTAATAATATAGAAAAAATGTATAAAAATGAGGACACAAGTCAGGGTTGCTGCCCCAGGCAGGGCAAAAGCTCTCAGCGCCCCTGTTTGAAAGTTTCTCATTATGTCGTTTCTGATACTTCACCGCACCTAGTGTTTTTTTTTTAAACTTAAGCTTTTTTGAAACATTTTCCCCAAATTTTCCGACTTCTAATTCTACTTTTTCTGTGTGCAAACCATATTAATGTTATATAGTGCACAATATCAGTAACTCACATATAATTCCAACTATTCCCAATATTCTTCTAAGATTATTGCTATTTTTTTAATCTTTTATAGCCATACTGTTCTTCTATGTAAGCATCGTTTCTCTTTAATCCTCTATCTAATCATCTAATTTTTAATCCTCTATTTAATCATCTTGTTTGCTCTATCTAATTATAGTGTGCTAGCTGAACATCCTCAAATTTTATTCCCCATAAATTACTGTTACGCATCTTTTTATGTGCTGTATATTTTATTTTTACTTTTAATGCACCTTTTGTTAAGAGTGGATAAAAATCTCTGAATATTACTCAAGTAAATTAATCTTTTATACTTGAACACTCTTTCTCTAAATACTCTTAGCTGATCTAGTTGTATCTACAACATAAAAAATCTTACAAACACACTTTATCTTTTTATTGCTATTTATTTCAAGATCTTTTTTTTACTTCTCTGTATTCATTAAACGAACAACTTCTAAACTAAAAAAAACCCTACGTTAAGACCATTTTGTATTCCACTACAGCTGTTGTGAACCTGCTGCTAAAAAAAAGTACAATTGATAGATTTCTCTCTAACTTCTTTTTTACACACTTTTAAGTTGTTGTTGTTTTTTTTTATTATTTTTAATTTTACACTACATAACATTTTCTTAAGCTTCTTTTAATCTTTTACACTCTAAAATTATAGTATTCATTCTTCTTCTGTCTCTGTAATGGATAAATCTGCATCAATATCTGAAATCAAATATTAACTATCTGTGACAAAAACTTCTCTAGTAATCTAACAACTCAGTAGAGTGAGCTTTAAATAAAATAATATATAGAATACTTTATAAATATTTTATTTATAATTATATTATTATTTACTTTATATTTATAAATAAACATGGACTGAGCAGGCTGATATTTATTTGATTTAAATTGTTTATTTAATTTAAATAAATTTTGATGATAAATATAAGAGCTCAAAGTAATCAAAGCTTTAACCTTTAATTTATTTTAAATAAAATAGCAAAAAATTTAAAAGTCTTCATATCATAAAAAGAAACCAGAATATAAGTTTATATGTTTAATATATAAATTCAATTTAGAAGTATTCATAATATTTATAAAAGAGCAAGGATAATTATTATCATTGTTTTTCTTTTTCTTTTAATTTATATAGTTTTGGTTGACTTTTCTTTTCTTTTTTTATTCTCCTCATTTATATTTCATTTGCATTTCTTCCTTTTTTGTTGTTGAGAACTTTATGTTTTTTATGTGTCACTCCATTGACTAGTTTGTAACTATATAAGTGACACCTTACCAATTTCTGTAATCTTACGATGAAAATTTGTAAATTTTTATTATTATGGTTAAATAAAATTTAACATACACAGAATTTAAAATAGTAGCAACGTATTTTTAATCTTCTTTAAAGTGAGATTACTAAGGTTTATAGGTCAAATGTTGAAACCAATTTTTGTTCTATTTGCGGTAATCCCACACAAAAATTAATTTAAATTCGTTACATAATACAAATTAAGGTTTTTTTTCCATTTTATTTTAAAAAGTTTTAATTTGTTTTAAATTATAAGGTTTTTATTCTGCATAAAAATGCTGATTCAGTTCATTTAAGTCACACTTGGAAGCCTTCAAAGTGTATGAAGACCTTCCTTAATTTTACTATTATATTCAAAATATTTCTACTTATTTATTATCATCCTCTCCATAACAAGACATTTAGGAGTAAATAATACTAAGTATATGGTATAGACTCCAACTTTAACTCTGTAGTCCTGAATTTACAACTTAATTAGACACTGGCAACTAGCATATTTTTATAACTTGTACAACAGTAGCTTATAACTTTAATTACTTAAAATTTTTTGCCGAAGCCAAAGATTCGGCAAAAATTTGACCTGGCTTCGGCCGAACCGAAGCTTCGGCATGCCGAAGCCGAAGCTTCGGTACATCCCTAGTTTGGAACAATCAATACTGAACTAAAAAACTTCAATTTATGGCTCATAGTAAATAAACTATCCTTAAACTGTAAAAAAACTTACTACATCTTATTTCATAAAAAAGGTCAACCGATGTCTCTACCATTAAAAATTTCACAGTTGCTCATTACCAACATAACAATAAAACCAGAAAAATATGAAAAGTTTCTTTGGATTCAAATAAACAAAAATTTATCAAGGAGAAATCAAATTGTGCACATTAAATCAAAAATATAATCTACAACAGGTATTTTGTATATATCTTGCCCATTTCTAGATTTCTGTTCAAGAAAAAAAACCTTACTTTAGTCTAAGTCATAATAATCTCACATGTGTTAATATAGTGTGGGCTGATACAAGCAAAACAAAGTTGAACAAACTACAAAACCATGCTTGTAGTTTTACTCAATGTATTGAAATTCAAGTAATCATTATCTAAGTAGAATGGACAATTTTTCGTAATGAAAAATATAAAAACTTGATATTCATTTTTTTTTTATGTTCAATTATAAACCTGATATGCTATCGAATTCGTATTTAGACATATTTTTGTCATCGCTTTCTCAAAGTTATAACAAGCGATCAAATAGTTTCCATAACTATGGAAACTATTTGATATTAAAAAATAAAACCCGGTATTCTTAATAACACTGAATTAATCAATTAATTTTAAACTAACACTAAATTAATAATAACACTGAAACAAAAACAAAAAATAAAACAAAAAGGTACTAATTAATAAAATAAAACATTAATAACAGTATAACTAGCAATTACAATGCTAATTATAAAAAACTATTACTAAAATTACTTAAATTACCTTTTTACATAGACAGACACAAGTGGCACTGTTTAGGGAATCTGCGAAAAGTTTTCTGGATTTTTATACCCAAAAATGCTGAATCTTTATTGATTTCCTTTTTTTAGGTATTATAATTTGGAAAATTGAATATATATATATATATATATATATATATATATATATATATATATATATATATATATATATATATATATATATATATATATATATATATATATATATATATATATTTATACGTTATTAATATAGGAAAAAATTATTAGCATAAAATATCCACATTTCATTAAATACATCTAGAAATGAATAATCTTACATAGTAATCAAAAAAATTGTGTTGTAGAAAACAAAAAGTTTATTAGGTGGGCCTTAATAACCATTATTTTATAATGAAAAAAGACTATACGATAATAGTCTTTCATTATTTCTACTGTTTATATTGAGTATGTTTTATGTCTCAATAATGTATTAGTTTTTTTGTGCAGTTTTGTGCAGGTGCTCCGAGAAGTCCTTACGATCTTATCACAGAGCATCGTAGGAGAACATTTAACAAGAACTTCACTCCTCCTTCTTTACCAATGTCGGCTATTGGGCTAGAGCCGGCGTCGAACCTCGGATCTCTGGGTTCTGAGCAGAACTCTAACCACTGCGCCGCGGCATGTTAAATGCGGCATGTATGTATGCATGTATGTATGTATGTATGTATGTATGTATGTATGTATGTATGTATGTATGTATGTATGTATGTATGTATGTAGGTATGTAGGTATGAATGTATGTATGTATGTATGTATGTATGTATGTATGTATGTATGTATGTATGTATGTATGTATGTATGTATGTATGTATGTATGTATGTATGTATGTATGTATTTATGTATGTATGTATGTATGCATGTATGTATGTATGTATGTATGTATTTATGTATGTATGTATGTAAGTATGTATGCTTGTAATGTGTGTATATATATTTGAGCAGATATTTGTCAAAAACACGATAGTAATAAAGAATAAAATGTTTAAAAAACAAAATACTGTTGCATTAAAAAAGTTCTTTATGCTTATATAGTTTTTCTAATTCATTAACATCTAATGCACCGGCGTATGAAACTCTCTCTGTTCCCGCACCTGGGTTAATTTATAAATTTTTTACATACTAATAGTGTGCAAAACCATAAATTAATTCAGATGCGGCAACAGAGTTACAAATGCTGGTGCATTGAGTGTTGATGAATATGAAGAACCATAATGATATGAAGAACATATAGACATAAAATACTTATATAACATTAATTGACATTAATTTTTTTTTTAACTAATTTTATATTTTAAGGGGGGAATTTGAGTATAACAATACTAGGCACCTAAAATATCGACTTTTTAGTTAACATATTTTCTATGTGTGATTATTTATGCATTATTGCAGAAAAAATAAAATATGAAAAGTTTTTTTCTCTATTATCTAAAAACATTTACTCACGGCAAGTCATCTCCAATTAAATGGGCATACTTTTCAAAGTTCTTCATCATACCTATGAAATAATAGTATAATAGTACAACTTAATAAATGTTATATAAGAGCAGTAGAAGTTAAAGAAAAAGAAGTGTGAAGAACAAGAAAAAAAATTTAACAAAAAACACGACAAAAGTTGGGTAATACGAATTGGACAGTAACTCATATCAAACTGATTAACCGTGATAGTGCAGATACGTGCTGCGTGATATATTCTGCGTGATAAACGCAAAAAATAAAATGTACAATTAAGTCTTTTTTATTGTTTGGTGGTGTACCACCATCTAGGAAAATAAATTGAACAAATTTAAATTGTTTTAAAAAAGTCCTTTAAAGGTTTTGGGCTCTGTTGATCACAAAAACAAGCACAATTTTTGCAAATAAAAAAACAGACTAATGAAAAACTGCAGGGTAGAGCGGGGCATATAAGGACACTTAAGAAACAAATGTTAGTTGCGAATAAACTAATCATAGTTAACACTGTTTTTTATAAATTTCCTAAAATTCATTGATATAAGATAAAAAAAAAAAAAAAAATTAAAAATAAGTTATGACAACCAAAGTAACGAAACTCTAGACTAGCAAAACTTTTATACTTTGCAAGTAGGTGGGGCAAAATGGGACAGTTAAAAAGCATCAGTTATTCATCAATTGTAAAGCTTTAAAAATAATGAAAAATGAAGGCTATCTATTGCGTAAATATGTTCAGCCATTAAACTCTCAAAAAAGTAACATATGCAAAGAAACTACACACCCATACACCACAAAAAAAGAAATAACCCATACACAGCAAAGAAGAAATGAAATAAAATATTTTTCTGTGTGTTTTGTTATAAAATACCTCCGTTCTACTCTAACCTATATATTATTAAATCGGTAAATGCTACTAAATTTGAAATTGAAAAAAAAAATTTATGGACCACATAAATCGTACAAAAAATATCCTGAAACTGTTCGGGAACATTTTTGATGAGCTGGCTTATTAACAATATGCCAATGTAGAGCAAACTTAAATACGCCATATGTATCAGCAGCTTTTCTAGTTCTAAGTTTCTGTTTACGTATATTAAAACTGAATTTCATCCCGTTTTCGATGATTGATCTTTCTTATATAATTTCTTACCTTCTCTGTTTACATTAAACATATTAATCATCGAAATTAAGTTATAAAAATAAGAAATTCTTTAAATTTATTGCTAAAATTGATTCTAAATAAAAAAAAACAATACTTTAAATTTAAAATAAAATTATCAAACTGTAAACAGCATTGAGAAATGGTAGTAATATACTCAATTATATAAATACTAGTGTTGTCCCGATATGCCCCACAAAAGTCATTTTACTAAAAATAATACTATTCAAAAAGTTCAATTCCAAATTTTTTTTTTAAATCAGATTCTAAAAGAGGATAAAAAAATACTGTCTGCTAGTATAAACCTTTTATAAATAAAGCAAACTCGCAAGAGTTCAAGATAAATCTTTTGTCGCTGTATTGCTTAAGAAATTACGCAAATTTTGTTTTTCGCAAACTTACTAGTACATTTTGGTACTTTTAATGCATTTTGGTAATTCTAAAGCTAAATTTTTTTACAATAATAAAGCACAATAATTTAAAATGGTTTATCAAAAAAAAATTTGGCTTTAGGCATGGCATAACTGTCCCGTTATACCCCGATGTCCCGATATGCCCCACTCTACCCTACTTATAATTACAGGGTAAATAAATTTTCTGAAAAAATTTTGTCTAAAAAAAATATTATAACTCAATTATCAATATTCAGGATTGATCCAGAATTTTTGTATTAACCAGTTGCTGAGTATAAAATTATTATTATATAACTTTAATTTAGACGATTTTTTAATTTTTAATTTTCTGTTAATTTTTACTTTCACATATAATTCCTAACCTATAACAAAATTACCCAGTGTTAAATTAGGATACCCTACTTACTTTCTTCATGTTTTAGCTATATGCTTACAAACCGCGTACATTTATTTTTCTTTTAAGAATGACACTCCCCAGCTAGCACACTTACATTGGGCCAACGTATGTAAAACCATCGCAAACGTCGGCTCTTTTTTCCGATGCAATACCAACGTTGATCCAATATCATTTGGTTAATGATAAAACTATTACCGACAGAACTAAAAACATCTGGCAAATTTACATTGGTCGAATGTATGTAAAAACATCGCAAAAAGTTGATTGTTTTTACGATCTAAACCCAACGCTGATTCAATGTATACATCTCGACATTGATTCAATGTATATAAATAAACATTTTTCCAATGTATGTAAAAACATCGCAAAAAGTTGATTGTTTTTATGATCTAAACCCAACGTTGATCCAATATATAAATTTCGACGTTGATTCAATGTATATAAATCAACGTTGATCCAATGTATGTAAATACATCGCAAAAAGTTGATTGCTTTTACGAATTAAACCCAACGTTGATCCAAGTTATATAATTTTGCAATAGCAATGCTTGCGACCAAGCATTGCTATTGCAAAATTATATAACTTAAATGAAACCTTCGGTGATTATTAAAATATTAAACCACAATCAACACAAACTCGATTTTTATTCCAATGATCAAGCGTTATTAACCTTGTGAGTATCTATTGCTTACGTCAGCTGTACTTATACACATACATGCATACATACATATATACACATACATGTATACCGCTATATACGTATATATATACATATATATATATATTCATATGTATATATATATATATAAATATATATATATATACATATAAAGATGATAGAATTTAATGAAAATTTAAATCCGAACAGTATTGAATACAACGTTTTGCCAATTAAAGTTCAACGTTGAATCAACGTAAATACAACGTTTAAAATAAAACATTGAATCAACGTAAAAAATATAACTATTTTCCGACTTTAATAAAACGTTTTATCAACATTGGTTTTTAGTTGTTGGCGACGTCGCCTTTGTAACCATAATGATATAAAAACAACGTTGGCAGCCGATGTTAGGCCAACGAAACGCACGACATTGTTCTAATGTTTTAACAACGTAAGTGTGCTAGCTGGGTCTTTATTTAAAAGCAACGTACACACACACACACACGCACACAAGATACAAATATATATATACATATATAAAGAAAGTTTTACCATCTTTTATATTTGTAATATTAATGCTTATGTAACTATCGCGATCTGGTCGAGTATGTTCGTGCATCATTCCAAGAGTATGAAGAATTTCATGCAACATAGTACCTAAATAATTTTTAATTGATTTTATATGTACCTAATAAAATACAACCTTAAAATCATATTGATTAAATATAATCATATTATATCAAATCAATAAAAAAAACATCGCAAATAAATATAAAAATTACTAAGCTGCAATCTAAAACCTAAAAAGCATAACAATAAATTAACATAATGCTATTAGCTAAAAAATAATACGTGACACTTTTTAAGTAGTTTTTAAATTGATCCCTTCCCTATTTTAAGAAGTTGCAAAAATCCATTCAAACATGAAAATAATAATTAAAAACACGACAATTTAATCATTCTTATTTCTAAAATTCATATTTTTATCTTTTTTAGAATAAAAAATAATTTCTAAATAAATTAAAACTATGTTTGGTTTTTCAAAAAGTGCGTTTCACACAAGTGATGTATGACATTTCCCACCCGACCTTTTAAAAAATTACGTATTTATTTAAATGGTACATAAAAAAAAACTAACACCTTCGATAAAACTTATAGCCAACGAATCCGTATGCTGAAAAGGAAATAAGGAAAAATTTAACAAACTTGGTGGTACCAGAAAATTTTAAGAAAAATATTTAGCGGTCAGTTTTAATTTTTATTCAAAGTATTTAACTTCGTTTTAAAAGTATTATTATATAGTTTATTGTTAATGTTATATCTATTATTATATTTTAGTTCATATGATATTATTATACTTGTTATTATAATATTATTATTGTTAATTGTTAATGTTGTATTATTATTATAATTGTATAAATAATTGAGTATTTAAAAATTTTTTATAGAATGCGTACTTCATAGGAATCTATGGGTCTATTTTAATTGATAAAATGAAAATTGATAAAAAAAACAAAAAAAAAGAAAAAATGTAAAAAAAAGAATGATTTTTTAAAATACGGTAAATAAAACGTAAACAAAAAACAAAACTCAACGTGTAGCTACTCTATATTTTTTTAAAACTTAAGAGTGGTTACTGTCTATAAAGTGTATTTTTCAGAAGTTGATATAGTTTTTTAATTTCTTTTTAAACCCAACTTCTTCCACCCACCCATCCTTTCTGCTCTCCCCTCACCCACTTCCATTCTCCTTTTTTCCTTCATTTTTAACAAAAACAAAAAAGAGAAGAAAAAAAACATACTATGAGCCTGGGTAAGGTAAATAGTAATGAAAAAATAATGTAAATATTTGGTAATATGAAATTGACGGTTAACATACTATAACGAATAATTTATATTTCACCAAAAGCTAAAATAACATAAATAGCTAACACTACAGGAAAGCTAAAATAACACATTATTACATTACACAACCCGAGAACAATATTAGTACATTATTGTTTACATTATGTAAATTACTTGAAAAAAATATTGCGCCTGTATAGCTTGCTACTTTGGTAATAGCTTATATAACATTATTACTAATAGAAAACTGACTAATCAAGGTTAACATACTGATATTAGCTAATATAGAATTAATAACTAATACAAATATAATAACTAATTAAAACGAACTGTAATAATAATTACAAAGTTGTAAACAAATAAGTATTAATTACTCCTTGTTTACTTATAAATGAAAAATTTTTATTGACTTTTTTATTATTAGAATAAAAGATAAAAAAAGTAATAATGAAACCTTTGTAGCAAGTTCGAATAGTTATCAAAATCTTCTGCTCACCAGGCTCCACACCTATATCTGAAAGTGCACTAAAAAGATATACAATATAAGGGTATTTGTAAAATATATATATAAGAGCCAACATTAAAAAAAAAATTTATGCATATGACATCAAATCTATTATATTAATAGATAATACCAAATAGATGACATCAAAGTTTATAAACTCTATCACTTTTCCACAAACTAGTCATTGAAGCAAACTATGATAACAGTCTCATTTTATTTAAATAAACTAGTTTATTTTTTTTTCTTTTTATTTATGGATAATTTAGTCTAATATAGTCAATGCAGGTAATTTTTATTGAAGAGGAGATGAAAACAGCTCTAAAACCATTAAAATTCTTAGCAAGTATCAACGCTATACTAAGAATAACACTCAGTGGCGTAACTAGAGGAAGCACAATCCCGCAAGATAGGGGGTGGTGCTCAGGGAGCCCCGTGGAGATTTACATATCTTACTCATATTATAAATATTTTTTAATTTTTTAATATAAGTGAATCCTAACAACCCTACTGGAAGATAGTCTTTAAGATTGCTAAGATGGTCTTCAAAAATTTTTTTAAGCTAAACCTAAGCTTTTTAGATATAGTTAAAACTTTAAAAGAAAAAACTTTAAAAGAAAAAACTTCTCTTTTCAAACTTTTTTCTTTAAAAAGTTTAAAAAGAGAAGAACAAACTAAAGCTCTAAATTTAAGTGAGAAAACTTCAAACTTTAAATTTGAGTAAATCTCTATCACGTATTAACGTATCTAAATTATGCTTCAAAAACTTAAAAAAAATGTCCTTAAGTCTAAACAAAGCAGCCAAGTTATTAGGTAATCTGAAATTCAAGTTAAAAGATTTCAGATCAAGTTACAATTTATTTAAATTAGAGGTTATTTCTTTTAAGTTTAAGAGGGGATTATCAAAATGTCTTTATATTTGGGTCCCCTCTTAAACTTAAAATTTTAAGAAGGGGAGCCAAATATAAAGACATTTTGATAATGAAAATTATTTATATGAATTTTATAAGTGATAGATTTAATAAAATAAAATTTTAAAAAATTTATAGATATACTGAAATAAAATTTATAGAATTGTCAGTTAAATTAGATAAATTGTTAAAACAAAATTACCCAGACAACTTTTTAAAAACTTTCCAATTCCAATTAATGCAATTATTTTTGTTATAAATGACATCACAGAAAAAACTACAATAAAAGAGGTGTCAAAATGCTCTTAATACAATTTTATGAGTGTGATTTTTCTGATGTAAACACAGCAATGTTGTTATTGAAGACAGTACTTGTGAAAGTTGCTAGTACAGAAAGATCCTTCAGTAAATTAAAGTTAATCAAAACATATCTAAGAAACAGCTTCAGGGACGTCTCAAACATTATGCAATTTTAGCAATAGAGGACAATAAAGGACAAACATTAGAATTAGATATAGTTACTGCGGAATTTGAGAATAAGAAAGCAAGAAAAAATTATATTTAAGAAAGTTGAATAAATAAAAAATTTCTTTAGATTTTCTTTAATTTTTTTTCTATACTTAATAACATTCTATGAATAACCACATCTGAAGATGGTATAGCGAGTCATAGTCATAAGTGAGGTAAAATTAGTTTTTGATATATGTTTTCCTCAAACATAATTTTAATGTTCGTTCTTTTTTATAATTACTTGGAGCAAAGATACTAGCATGTTTCTCTACTTTATAAAATAAATATTATTTATATATTCAATCGTGTTTTATTAACTAATTATAAAAAAGAAAATATTTCATATTTTATTTTTAATTGTAAAAGAAAAATAGTTTTAGGGAGGAGGGCACCGTTTCTTTTTTGCGGGAAGGGTGGGTGGGTAATTTATAGTTACGCCTCTGGTAACACTATTAATTAAATAACATTATTTGTTAACAGCAATCAGAAATCAAAAGTTTTATAGAAAACTACAACAGCTGATGGTATATAATATTATAATATATATTTTTATTATAACTTTACCCTGCATTGTTAAAAGCAAAAGATATATAGTTTGCTTCATCTTCATGTGGCTTAAAGTCTATGCAAGTCTTTTTTTTTATTTCTCCAATTGCTTCCTGTATTGCTAATTGACATCTAGTTTTTTCAATAATTGCATCTAAAAAGTTTGAAGTTTATATTTGTAACGGTATAGAAACATTGTAATGTACTAACAACAAAATAGTTAATTAAAAGTAATTTTAAGAGAATAAACAAGAAAATTGCCACGTCCAAGAATTAGCATATGATGGTAGTAATAATGGTTCTTATATGGGAACATATTATTAAATTTACATTCACATCAATTAATTAAACTTTTATGCGTTTGAAAAAGTATTATATAAAGGGTGGTTTATTTAGAGGTTTTTTTTTTTAAATTGGCTTCATTACATCGTGAATAACTTATGGTTTACATAATCGACTTACTAAACGCATATTTTGCTCAACATTTGATAAACTTTAAAACCTTCGAAAATGTAACATTGAAAAACCAAATGTCATTTGAAAAAGTATTTTGATTATAGCTGAAAATGTATGTGATAAACATATTTAATCCATTCAACGCCGTTTTTAACAAATTGTTTGGCGTATTTTATGGTTTAAATGCGTATAAAATTTAAACAGTGCCAAAGTTTAAGACAACCAACCTCCTAATTTGTTGTCATTTTGCCTTATCGACTCTTAAAAAACTTGATAAAATTTCTCTGATTGCGACTAAAATTTTTTCAGCACAAATTTTAAGCTGAAGATTAACCTAACATAGAAGTTAAAATCAAATAAAGAGTTTTTGCCAATTTAGAAATCACATGATGAAGTAATGTCAAGTTATTAAATGATGTCAGTTGATAATGAGATATCAAGTGATGAAGAGATCAAGTTACAACACTAAACAAAATCGTAAGTTGTGTTAGGCCATGACTAGGTGTAAAATAAGTAATAGGGATGCTTGCCTAATAGCAAATGCCGAACTAAAATATTTAGATATTTTAACACCAGAGAATGCTATTGATCCGGCTAAACTTTGTTGTTATATGTGGAGGAAACAGGGTGTTAAAAAGCATGCTGCTGAAGTCCAAGAAGTACTTTGCATTGGATTTGATGGTAAGCAGGATATCGCTTCTGATAAAACATTATTTGATAGTGTCATTTCCGCAAATATGTCAATCATGTCAAGCCACAAAGTAGTAAAGCTGTTGATATTGCACAAGAAATATGATTGAGCATCAACAACACCAAATCACCAGACACTTTAACAACAGTTGTTTGCAATGATGCTATGAATAACTCAGGTCAACAATGGAATAATCATAATAATATTTGGTCTGCTTGTTGCATGCAAATGAACAACCTTTAAAAAAATATTTCTCCGTTATTGATGGCGGACGTTGAACAACTCCAGCTACTTCAACAGGTAAAGTAGGCATTTTACTAGATTTGATCAAGAAGATTTATTTATAGCGAAATTTAAACATAAACCTGGTAAAGTTGAGGATGTAAGTGTTGACGCAAATGGTGGACGCTTTTTTCTAACGGTCGAAAATATCTTTATGAAAGAAAAAAAGTAAAAGAGAAAAGAAAAAATTTATAAATTAAATGAAATCAACAAAAAAGAAGAATAAATAAATCTTTTAAAAGAAGAAAAGAAAAAGAAATATATGAAAAAAAATAAGTAAAAAAACGTTAATGATTGAAATATATAAAAAGAATGGCAAAGAAAGAAAAAAAACTATTTAAACAGCGGAACCTCGATTTTTTTTTTTTTTTTCTTTAGTTTTCATTCATATATTTCTTAGGATTATTTATTTTATTATTTTTTTTTTTTTCTTCAGTTTTTTAGCGTATATAGTTTTACTTATTATTTTTTGTTAGTCATTTGTTGTTGTTTTTTAGTTATTACTTATTTTTAGTGGTATATAAATTTTTTATACAGTTATATATTGTTTGTTTTTATTTTCATTTTAGCCATTTATTACATATGTTTTATTCTACCGTATATTATTTTTTTAATCTTAAGTTTTTTTTGTTGTTGTTTGTCTGTTTTTATTTTGTTTTAATTTTTTGTTTTGTTTCGAAACGTTTGTTGTAACTTGTTTTGTTTTGAATTGTTATTATTTTTACTATTATTAATATTATTATTACTAAGATTAATTGTATATATATATAAATTATTTTTTTAAGGTGTTTACTTGAGATTAGTATTCCAATACTATTTGTAAATAGCCCTGAAAATTTATTTTCAGAATATATATGATTGATTGATTGACGTTAAGAAAGATTTAAGCTCTGATCAGATATACCTTCTCAAAGCTTGCTTAGCTGTTCAACAGGGATAAACTATTTGGGATTAAATATTGTTCCTCCAGACGGCTATGACAGGATACCTCCACCATGCAAGGTGACTAACGAAAAAAAATCGTATTTTACGTTTGTATATGTCTAAGGAAAATCCTTTAAAACTATTGTATATAATTACAAGATTCATTGTAAATGTTTATGCATTGTTGTGGATCAATATAAAGCGTTACTCTTTCTGCCTTCACGGAGCAAGGACTTTCTTTTACCTTACGAAGCAGAGCTATGAATTAGGGAAAAAAGGCATGAAAATTCTTGAGTCAGTATTGCAAAATAACTGTTATTTTGCTCAACCTAAGCATATTTTTCTTGGATGAGTTACAGATGAAAATGTATCGACTCGTCAGTTTTCAAGTTTTCGTGTGACAAAATAACTGACGCACGAGCTACATCACAAAGTAGCAAAATGTTTCGTCATTCATAGAGATGATTGACTGGTCTGTTGCTATCGTAAACCACCACCAATTTTATCAACAATAATAATCTTGAGCATTTTTAATATCACGTTGTTATCTTGAGTGGTTTTTCATGCCATTCTAAGGCCGTTGAACTATTAAAGACATCTCAGTAACAAATAAATTAATAAACTTTTAAATTTAATGTAACGAGATGTCGAGTAATGGAACACAGCATGTGTATTTACACTGTACGATTATACTGTAACTTTAATTCACAGAGTTGCTTTCTATTTTATTTCAAAGAAAGTTTTTATTTATAAGTAGACTATAATGCAACATTTTAGTTTTACAGTCCCAAATTAACATTTACATCATAATTACTCACCCTAATATATATATATATATATATATATATATATATATATATATATATATATATATATATATATATATATATATATATATATATATATATATATATATATATATATATATATATATATATATATATATATATATATATATATATATATATATATATATATATATATATATATATATTCAATAATCTGTCAATAAAACAGAACATTTGTAGTATTGTCAAAACGTAAATTATCCTGGGTTGTATTTACATCTCTTTGTTAAACATAGCGGAGCGTTAATCAAAAAACTCATTAAAGTTTTTTTAAATAAATTGTAAAAAATCTTGTTAAAATTATTAAAATATGTCAAATAAATAACATTTTAAATTAAAAAAAACATTATTGTTGCGTTAATAGTTGCAGATGGGCGTATCTTGTCGTCGCATTGGCATATAAATAGTTGATTATTGGCTGAACATTACTGTAGTGCGTGTTTAGTTAAGTTAGCGTCATATTGTGGAAATGTTGGTCTATGAGGGTATTGCAGTATTCTATATTTCTTTAGGAGCTTTTCACTTACCTAACAAATAATACCACTTTTACGTCGATAGCTCACACTATTCGATCAGAAGATCAGCTACAGGTCATAAAAGCTACACGACTTCACAACAATTACTAATAACAAATTTAATTATAGATGTTGATGTTGATTTATTTGATTAATGTGCTTCCATTTACAATTTTAATTAACAAAGTTTTCAGTTATATCTGTGTAAAACATTCTTAAATTATATTATTTACTATGCAACAATATTTTTCAAACAATGTATTTGCCATTTATTTATTAAGGCTAAATTGCTTTGTAACGCTAAACTGCTTCGTTGAGCCAACTGACACAAAAATGCAATTTGCCTAACTGCAAATCCAATTGAACTACAACAGTTAATACAAAAATACAGGCTTGTTTATTCAATTTTATTTTGCCAACTAGAGCAAAATAGGAACCTAGATGAAGGTTGGTAACAACTCAACTCTCTTTTCAGAAAAAAAACATTTTTATTGGATCGTAGTTGGAAGTGTGGAGCCGTGGATTTTAACAATTTTTGATAAATCAAAGTAACTGCATTAATAAATCACAGTCCTGCATTATCCAAGTTCTAAATTTAAGACTTAAAGTTTAAGGATAATTTAAATATATAATATTAAATAATATTGGTTAATGGTTTAAGAATAAAAGCAACGACTACGGGGCAGGTTAACCCGATGCAAATGGGGCACGTTGGCCATATGTTAAAATCATTTCCAATAATAATGTTTTGTGTTTTGAAATGTTTTAAAAATAAAAAACTAGCTTGGGATAAATAATAAGAATTAAATAAATAAGAAACTTAGGGTTTTTTTTTTATTTAGAGGGTTTTAAAGTTCAATACGCATCAAATTTCAATTATGATTTTTTTTAATTAAAAAAAAAATAAAGCATAAAATAATGAAAAAAAAATTGTTGAAAATTAAATTTTTTAACGTTAATGTTAACGTTAACTTTAACGTTAGCATTAATTTTCATTTACTCCACTAGGTTATTTATTTACTAGTCTAGAAGGAAACGTCCTAATAGCAGAGCTAATTGGGACGAGTTCCCCAGTATTATACCCCTGAGCCAATAGCGGGGCACGTTAGTTCATCAGACTAAAATGTATTAAAATGTATTAAAAATCGATTATGAATTTTTTATATTATTTTTGGGTCGTCTAGGGTCTTTTCAACGTTTTACGATAATCAAATAAAACAAGAAAAGCTAAAAAGTTACACATCAAAGAAAAAAAACCGGACCAATATGCCCCGGTCTACCCTATATTGAAAACGTGCTAAAGATGTTTTTATTAAGGTGTAAATGCTTCCAAAGGAGTAATGAAAACTTTTTTTTAATTTAAAAAGACTACTAAAACCTTTTTACTTTTGTTGCTTTCTGAGAAATCGTGCTAATAAATATTAGCACGGTTTTAAAT